CAGCGATAAGAAGGCCGAGTGAGCGGGCAACGCGCGACGGAAGGAGGTGTGGCCCAAGCTCTGTAAAGGCCTCCATCTCAAGAGATCGGGGGTGACCATTGATTTGGGCGGCAGCGACAGCCCTTGGAGGTGGTCCAGTGGCTGTGGCTGTCAAAGCCTCTGCAAGTTCAAGTTTGCTACATTTTGTTGCTTCAGGAGGGGAAACAACACACACAGACACAATGAATCGTCGACTCCCAGGAAGATGTTGGAAAGTATGGGAAGTGGAGGGGAAGACGTGGGAAAAGATGGGGAATCCTGTGATTAGTGTATATTTGTCTGTGTGTCCAAAGGCCCCTTCCTTGTTGACCCCTCCGACGGCAGGAGCAGCTCGCCCTGACCGTCGGCTGCGTGCTGGGCCGGCGTGCCTCGGAGGACGAGGCCGACCTGCCTGGCCTGCCCGACGGCTCGGGCGGCGTCAGCTGGCTTCCCTCGCAGACCTTTCGGGCCTCCTCCTCCCCCTTCCCCTCCTCCTCGTCCTCCTCCTACTCCGCCTCCTTCTCCTCCTCCCCCTCCCCCTCCCCCTCCTCCTCCTCCGCCTCCTCCTCCTCCTCCTCCTCCTCCTCCTCCTCCTACTCCTTCCCCTCCCCCTCCCCCTCCCCCTCCCCCTTCCCCTCCTCTCGGGCCGAACGAAAGGGGGGGATGGGGAAAGGGGGGGTACGAAATCTGCGGCATGCAGCTGCTTTCGACCCCGCCGCCAGGCCCCTTCCTCGATGCCTGGGCGCCTCCCGGCGCCGGGGGGCGCCGGGACAGGCAGCTGTACGTGAGTTGATTCTCACCCCCCCGGGGAGGAGGAGGAGGAGGAGGAGGAGGAGGAGGAGGAGGAGGAGGGGAGGAGGAGGAGGGGAGGAGGAGGAGGAGGCACCCCCCGCTGGCGTCGGCGCGGCGTGGCCGGCCGGCGCCGCCCGGAGCGGCGCCGCCGCCCGGCTCGCGGCCGCGCGCCCCGCCGGCCGCTCGCTCGGCGAGCTGCTCGCGGGCGTCGCGGGGCCGGAGGCGCCGGGCCTCTCGACCCAGACCCCCTCGAGTTATGACAAATTACGACGGGAGGTTTTTCATAATTTTTGGCTTTTGGGGGCCCTTACCGGCCTTCGGGACCGTCAAAAAACGACTCTGGACGAAAAACCGGTCCCAGGAAATGGGTCGAGACCTCCGGGGGTCGACGTCATGAAAAAATCATGACGTCGGGGGTCTGGGGAGTGTGAATCAGGAGGGGAAAAAAACACACACAGACACAATGAGTCGGCGATTCCCAGCAAGGATGGGAAAACTATGGGAAGTGGGGGGGAAGGCAGGCACCCAGAACAGATGGGGAGCTGTGGGGGGTATGTTTTGTTTGTGTGTATTCATTTGCGTGTCCCAGTTCCCCTTCAGGGAAGTTCGGGGTTGGACAGACCTCATACCCTGACACGTCGATTAAAGAATTGGCCGTTTTCGGTTCGCGGGAGGGCGTCGCAGCCGTCAGTTTTGCGGGTCCGGGTCCGTCGGTTTCGTTCCCAGGCCGTTTTTTTAGGGGAGGTCTACTAAAGGGAGGTTTGTCCACCGCCGAGAAGTCGGGCCTGTCCTTCTTCTGTGGCTTCCCTCGTACTTGAGGACCACATCCCAGAAATCATTTCGAGCTCCCAGAAAGGTGTCGAAGGAGTGTCGACGGAGTGTCGAGACAGTGTCTCCCAGGGCCCGACACGTGAAAACCCTTGAATTTTGGGGTGCGCTCGAAATTCTTTCTGATGATAAAGGCTGTCCCTGTACAGGAGGAACCTCTGATTACTATACACACCGCAATTGCGGATAAGAGTGAGGGGGCGCCCGGGCTGCCCGCCGGGGAGGATTGGGTGGGTCGCGGGTGGGCAGCGGGGTGGGTCGCGGGTGGGTCGCGGGCGGGTCTGGGCGGGGACGACGCAACAAAACAACAACAAAACAACAGCAAGAATCCTCGCCGTGGTTCGCCACTTCAGCCACGCACCCAGGGACAGTGAATGACCGTTCGGGCACCCTCACTCTGATTTTTTACTATGTTTGCGTATGTTTGACTATTTTCCATCGTTTGGGGATATTTCTTGGCTGTTTTTTTTTATCTTTCGTCCAAAATCCCCCTGTAGGAGGACATGCCCGACCTAACTCACGTAGGGTCGGAGTAGATTCGGGGGAAGGTGGGAAGAGGAGAGGCACCCCTATACCCCTACCTTCTCTTCGTTGTCGCCTATCCGGGCCTCCCGGGAGCCCCTCGCCGCCACACCTCTTGGACTCGCTTGGGCATCTGGGTCGGCGGGCGAGGTCCGGGCAGTGGGAGCGGTCTCGGCACCTGGTGGTTTCCAAAGGAGAGGGCGCGACACCACCACCACCAGGGGGTCACCTGGGGGCGAGGAGGTGCAGGACGCCTCCCCGGGAGCTGGGGATAGGGGATGCCTCGAGCGCGAGGGGGCGGCTGCGTCATCCTGCTCCTCCTCCTTCTCCTCTTCCCTCTGCCTCCTCCGCATCCTCCTCCTCGTCCTCCTCCTCCTCCTCCTCCTCCTCCTCCTCCTCCTCCTCCCCCTCCTCCTCCTCCTCCCCCCAGGGGGGCTCTCCCGTGGCACCTACCGCTCGTGGTCCCCGGGTGTGGGGGGGCCGCTCGTCCTCGTTCCCACAGGCGGGGTCTGGAGGACCGCGCCGCATCGACGATGCAACGGCGAGGCGGCTCGATGTGGAGCCCGACCCTCTTCACGCCGACGGCGCCGATGCATCGCCGCGGCCTCGGCGGCGCATCGGCGATGCGGCCCGATGCTCCGACCCCGTCTACTCCGATCCCACCTGGGGAGCCCACAGAGGCGCTGGCCTTCGTCCGCGCATGCCTGGCCCGGCGGCGCGCAGGGGCCCCGTTGGGCTGGAGCGGCCTCCCCGGAGGTCCGAGCGCTTCAATGTTTCCCCCCTGCGTGGGCTTCTTCGATCAGTTTCGGGCGCCAATTGATTTATACTGTGACTGCCAAGGAACCCTGGACGTCCTCTGGGGTGGCCAGCGGGCTGGGGCCTCGGCTGGAGGGCCCAGGGCCCATCTCTGGGCCCCGTTCTGGTCGAGTTTCTCTCCTGGGGACCTCACGGCGACCAAGACGGAAGCGCATTGCACGATGACTGATGTCCACAGTGGCAATACGACCCTGTGGGAAATGAAGGCCAACGGTTCGGTCCGTCTTGGCTCGGAGGGTGCCGCAGGAAGATGGGGCTTGGGGTTCTGGTAGCTTGGCATCGCTCGGACGTGTGCATGTTTCCTTCGGCGGGGGCCATCGAGGAGCATCCTTGCTCACTTGGCGGAAAAAAAGCACGCACGCAACCGAACAAAAACACAGGGAATGGACATCCGAGCGATGGCGAGGCAGTGATTCCCCGCGGTGCTGCAGCTTTTCTGCGACGTCGGATCTCAGGGCTCGGGCTCCTGGTGCGGGCCCACCTGCGGCCTCCCGACCGCCCAGCGCAGTGCGGCAGCAGCGGCGGTCGCGCCCCAGGCGAGAGCAGCGCGAGTCGTCTTGGGGTCGGTCCCGGGGCCGGCGAGGGCCCCCCAGAGGCCGAGAGCATGGCCAGAAACGTCCCGCCGCGGATGTTTCCGCAGCGAGGTGCCGCTTATCTGTGTTCCTACGGGGGGCGCTCATGGCAACACAGGACAGCGACACCGTTTCCCCATACCGTCAGCAAATCGATGTGGGACGAAAAGCCGGTGCAAGGAAGGACGGCCAGGTTTGTTGGAGATGTTGTGTGTCTTCTGACGTTTAGCGATCTGGTAACCGAGCACATGATCGCAGCGCACCCCCGCCCCGACGTGCCCCACCCCGCCCAAACGTTACTGTTGCCATCGCCCCCCAGGCAACGACCGTTACCCCCCCGCCCCCGGGTAACTACTTATATGTTGGGGCCCATGCGGAACAAAAAAGGACAAATACACGAGGTTCGCGCATACCTGAGCGCTGGCAGGAAGCGGGGTCGATGCTGGCGACATTGATGCGCGAGCTGCCCGCATGAGGCCGCGCACAAGCGCCCTCGTCGCCATGCCCTTGTGGAGCACATCCGTCCAGCTCTCGCGCCGAAGACCGCCAGAGGCCGCCCAAGAGCCCCGAAGGCCGTTCATTCGAGGACCGCCGCAGACCCTCCGAAGAGACCGCCGAAGACGGCCCAGGGCCGATGGGCCACAAGAGGGGGGTCCGAGGTCGAGCGCCTTGCTCTCGCGCAGGGCCCCCGTGCTCTCGCTCGCCTCCCTCTGAGCCTGACGACTTCTCTCCGATTGGCCTGCGGGGGAACCGGACACATGGAGGTTCATCCAAATACGTCGAGGTACGGTAGGGCCAAGGTATCAGATCGAGGGCGGCTCGGGGAGGGTGACCAAGTGTTTTTCGTGCTTGTTGGTGCTCTTGTGCATCCTGGGGGAGGGTACTCTCGAGTGTTCTTCGGTTTGGCCAGCGGAGGGTCCCGTGTTTTTGAAAGGTGCTGTTCTGTCACAGGTCCAGCCGTACAGTGGAGACCCATTCCAAGAAACACCCTGCTTGCCTCCAGGGTGCCCTGGGTTTCTTGGGTTTCGCTTCTTGTTGCGATGGACAGCGTTACGCTCCCACGCCAACACTCAACGTTGGATTTCTTGTGGAAGGCTTCTTTTGGAAGGTTTCCTGTGGTTGGATTTTTTGGGGTCTCAGGGTTGGGTTTCCTGTGGAAGGTTTCTTGTGGACCGGCCTCCACGTGTGACTCGACTGGGACCCTATCTGGGTGGCAGGAGGAGCAGGAGGAGGAGGAGGAGGAGGAGGAGGAGGAGGAGGAGAAGGAGGAGGCGAAGGAGGAGGAGGAGGAGGAGGAGGAGGCGAAGGAGGAGGAGGCGGAGGAGCGGAGAAGCTGGTGGGCTTCTTGTGGGAGGTTCCTTGTGCAACTCGACCCGGGCCCCTCGCCGGGTGGCCTCCGGCACCCCGGGGGCCGCTCCTGCCCGGGCGGCCCGCTGCGCGCGGGCCGGCCGCGTCCCTCTCGCCCGCGGCGCGCCCGGGCGCGGGGGGCGCTGCTGCTCGGGGCGGCCTTCGTGACGGAGCACGTCGAGGCCTCGGGCGCGGAGCGGAAGTCGGGGGGGGGCAGAACCCCTCAGGAGGAGGAGGAGAGGAGGAGGAGGAGCAGGAGGAGGAGGAGGAGGAGGAGGAGGAGGAGGAGGAGGATGGGGTTGCCCGCGCCATCGCGCGCCTGCTTCTCGCCGCCCTCTCCTCGCTCGCCTGGGGGTGTCTGCGCCCAGGCAGCGCGAGCGTCGTCGGAGGACCCGCGCTCTCTCAACTGGGGGTGGGCAGAACCCCCTCAACAGTGGCACGTCGATTAGTGAATCGTCCGTTTTCGCTTCTCGAGAGGGCGCCGCGGCCGTTGCTTTCCAGGCTTGCGCCTGCCAGGTTTGGGCCTCCCGTCGTTTTCACTGAACCACGTTTGACTGAAGGGGGGTCTGTCCATCCCCGAGGAAGCCTCGTCGCTGCACCGCACACCGGCCGGGGCAAAGAGGGGGGTGATGACTTGGGGGGGGTGGATCTTTATTGTCTGAGCTTCTCTGTCATGCCTCTGGTTTCCGTCGAAAAAAAACTCGCGATTTTTTTCATCCGAACAATCTGCTTCCATCTCCGGACCTTACCTAAACCTCGAATTGAGTAGAGCAAAGCCAGGAACGCCAATCGAACAACAACATCATGGCGTGGGCCATGATGGTTCCCCAGATTTCATGGCGCCTCTTCTCATTTCATCACGTCCCTGGCCCCCCCGCTGGGCCGCGCACGTGCCGCCGGTCATGATTTGCACCCCCCCCGTCTTGGACACCCCCCTTTTGGCCGCTCCCGAACCAGCCAGACCCAGCCCAACCCGAGGTCCCCGACCCCCCCCCCAACAAAGATCAGGAGAGGAAAAAACACACAGACACAATGAATCGTCGATTCCCAGGAAAATATGGGAAAATATGGGAAGTGGGGGGGAAGACAGAAACCCAGAAAATATGGCAAAATATGGGAAATCTTTTTATTTGTGTGTATTTATTTGTGTGTCCTGGGGCCCCTTCAAAAGAGTTTGCTCGGGTTGGGGGGGTTGGTGGGTCCCGCTGTTGTCTCGCTGCTCCCGGGCAGGGAGCGGAGACACTGTACACGCCGGTCGTTGAAAGTAGGTATTTTGGGATTCCCAGATCCCAATATACTTCCAGCGCCTTCCTACTTCAAGAATCGACACGCTTTTGCTGTGTTTTGTTATTCTCTGGGAGGGCATGGACCCAATCCACTTTATCCGCCTTCCTACTTCATGTTTTTACCTACTTCTTCCGACCGACGTGTAAACTTTAAGGCTTCTCGGGCCCGCTCGTACCCTCCACAGAACCGGCCCCTCGTGCACGGAGCGAAATCCCTCGTCGCCTCCAGAGAGCGCCCCAAGGCCAAGAATCCGCCGAGGACCAGCAACCTCATCTGATGGGCAGATTTCCACCACCACTACCACATGTAGGTAGGGGAGGGAGAAGGAGAAGGAAGAGGGGGACAGGAGGAGGACCTCCCCATCCTCCCTTCTTCCCCGTCCTACATATGGTAGTGGTGGTGGAAAACTGGCCCATCATCATCCTAAAACCTCAAACCTCGAGCGGGTTGGGGTAGAGTTGATACCCTCCGATGGCTCAGCTAGAAGAAACAGTGCATACACAGCAGAGTGAGGGGGCCGAACGGTCATTCATTGTCCCTGGGTGCGGGGCTGAAGTGAGAATCCGTGGTGAGGATTATGCTTGTTGCGTTGTTGTTGTTATTGATGTTATTGTTGTTTGTTGTCGTCGTCCGACCCGCGACCCACCCGCGACCCACACCCCGCGACCCACCCGCGACCCACTCGACACCCACCCGCGACCAACCCCGCGACCCACCCGAGACCCACTCGCGACCCACCCGCGACCCACCCGCGACTCACCCTCGACCCGGCCCGCGACCCACCCGCGACCCACTTGTGACCCAACCCGTGACCCACCCACATTGTTTTCACAAAAAGGCGCCTGCGGCGGGCTCGTTTTATAGCTTGGAGAATTTTGCGCCTGCCTCGCAGACTGCCGACGTACCCGCCGCTCCCTCACTCTTATCCGCAATTGCGGTGTGCTGCGGTGTTCTGTTCGGAGCTCCGCGTGGATCGCTTGGATCTTTGCTGGAATCCCCCTGGCGGCGCCTCCAGCGCCGCCACCTGGCGCGTTCCGCGCGCCAGCCAGGGGGTCTCAGCAACGATCCAAGAGATCCGCGCGGAGCTCCGAACTTTTACCCGCAGCACCCCGCGGTTGGGGTTAGAGTGAGGGGGCGGCGGGGACGTCGGCAATCTGCGAGGCTCTGCGCATACATTTTCAAGCTGCACGACGAGCCCGCCGCAGGCTCCGATTTTCTTGTTAAAGGTGGGTGGGTGGCGGGTTGGGTCGCAGGTGGGTCGCGGGTTGGTCGCGGATGGGTCGCGGGTGGGTCGCGGGCCGGGTCGCGGGTGGGTCGCGGGGTGGGTCGCGGGTACGTCGCGGGTGGGTCGCGGGGTGGGTCGCGGTGTGGGTCGCGGGTGGGTCGCGGGCCGGGTCGCAGGGGGGACGGTGTTTAACAACAGCAACACACAACCAAACACACACGCAACGAACAATTTACAACAGCAACAGCAACAACAACAACAACAACAGCAACACAAATCACAACAGCAGCAACAACAACACCAACGCCAACACCAACACCAACACCAACACTTACAGCAACAACAATAACAGCAGCAACAGCAACAACACCACCAACAATAACAACAATAATCCGCATAGCGGGATCCCACTTCAGCCACGAACCCAAAGACAATGAATGACGGTTCGGCCCCTTCACTCTGATGATTCTGCAATTCTTCTTCCTCTAGCTGACCATTGGAGGGCGTCATCTTTACCCCCCAGTCGGGTTTTTGAGGTTTTCGGACGTTGTCGCTGGTCCTCGGTGGTTTCCTGGCCTCGGGGTGCTCTCTAGCAGCTGCGCCTCGCCGAGGTTGCTCCGGGAGGGGGGCCCGGATCCTCCCGGACGGCCGCCAGGTATCTGAGCCCCGGAAGAATGGGCTACCAGGAATCGCACTGTGTTGATTATTTTCCGTACACAAAATTATCAATTTATTGTGCTGTGTCGGCAAAGTGTCAAGGGACCGACCTTCAGATTCGGTACTGGGGCTTAGATCCTGTCACCGCTCCCTTGAGAGCCAAAAAACTACGAGAGCGAGAGATTATATGATAATAGTGATAGGCCATCCAGTCAGAGAAGGAGACGGCACCGACACTGCCACCCTTCGCTCGCTCTGACCCTCTGTGGGGGGGGGGGCCCTGCCGCCACGGCAGAGCTCTCCGCGAGAGTCTTCTCTGCGGACGCGCGGAGAGCTTCCCGGCGCGAGCCAGGGAGGGCCCGCGTCCGCGGCGGAGGGCGGCAGTTGTCAGGAGGGAAAAAACACACAGACACAATTAGTCGTCGATTCCCAGAAGAATATAGGAAAATATGCGAAGTGGGGGGAAGACAGAAACCAAGAAAATATGGGGATTGTCCCAGGGCCCCTTTCAAGGTTTGGGAATCATTTGATTTGTGTGTATTTTTTGTGTGTCCCAGGGCCCCTTCAAGGTGGGCGGCAGGTGGCCGGCGGGGGGAGAGCGGGGGGCGGGCCGCGCTGCCAGGGCGGGAGGCTGGCGCAAGCCGGCGGAAGGGCAGAACGGACCGGCACGAACGGAATGGGTACGCAGAGTATGGGTGCAAAGCCCAACAGCAGTTCTTGCTCATTTTGAACAGGACTCGCTGTCGGTGTCGCTTCGGCCTGTGTATATTTGAAACAGAGGGCCGCCTGCCCAACAGCGGCCGCTGTTGGTTTGGGACAACATTTGTTTTGGGCACTGTACCCATTCTTTCGGTGCCCATTCCGGGCGTTCAAAGCGTCTGCCAGGGCGGAAGGCTGGCGGAAGCCAGCGGAAGGGAAGAATGGACCCATCATTTCAGAGGTCGGCTTCGGCCGCTCTGTAGGGCGCCTCGCTCCACCAGAGGGAGGGGGGGCCGCCCTTCAGTGCCACCCCGCAGAGGCAGGGGTGATGGGCCTGTTTTCCACCACCACCACCATAAGTTGGAGGAGGAGGAGGAGGAGGAGGAGGTGGAGGAGGTGGAGGAGGTGGAGGAGGAGGAGGAGCACCCCCTCCCCCTCCAACTTTGGTGGTGGTGGTGGAAAACAGGCCCACCAAGGGGTGCGCGGGCGCGGGGTCGAGGCACTGCCGCCCCCTCCATCTCGTGCCTGCTTCCTCCCCCCCTTTGGGGCACCTTCCGCCTTTCTCGGTTGCGCCGCGGCTCCTTGCGGTTGTTTTTAGCTTCAGGAGGGAAAGAAACACACAGACACAATTAATCGTCGACCCCCGGGAAAATACACAAAAATATGGGAAATGGGGGGGGACGACAAAAACCCAAAACATATATAGGAACATACGGGGATTTGTTTTAGTTGTGTGCATTTTGTTGCGTGTCCTGGGGCCCCTTCATAGTTGCCCCCGCGAAACTTCCTTGGGAATGGGAGCGGCGTCCAAAAAAACGAAGGGAAGACTGGACCCGGGGCAGGAGCAAAGCAGAGGAGCACCCGCGCCTCCCCCCGTTGACGGTAGGCTCAAGTCGGGCGCGTCCCTTCTCGCAGGCGGAAGATTCCAAAACGATCAAAACTAGATGGGCTCGGGAGCAGTTCCTACAAGAGAATCAAACAGCATGGCTCAAAATATGGTGGACGAGGTTTCGACTACGCGGATTGTCGTGGGGTCATATTCGAACCATTGTTACGTTTCGTCCGAGGTCTGCCTCTAGGAGGACGTGCCCGACCTAGCGGTAGGTCAGCTGTTTGGCTACTCAACCTCGGCCCCCCCCGGAACCGTGGGCCTCCTCCTCCTCCTCCTCCTCCTCCTCCTCCTCCTCACTCCTCCTCCTCCTCCCTCCTCCTCCCTCCTGCCTCCCTCCTCCTCCTTCCTCCCCCGTCCTTCCTCCTGCCCCATGTTGGCTTCTTGTGGGCCACGGGCCCGCCCCGGAACCGTCAAGACACGGCCGAGGCGTCGGCTCCTGGGGAGGGGTCCGGGCCCTGGGGGGCCCACGCTGTGCAAGGACGCCCATCGAGGTCGCGCAGTTTGAAGGGGGCCCAGGGACACACAAATGAATAGACACGAATAGCAGGATTCCCCACATTTCCAATGTTTTCTTGGTTTTTGTCTTCCCCCCCACTTTCCATCTTTCCCCATATTTTCTGGGGAGTGGACGATTAATTGTGTCTGTGTGCTTTTTTCACTCCTGACAGTTGTTCGCGCTTCGCGGTTCAGATCCGATTCCTCCTCATCCTCCTCTTCTCCCCTGGGAGGCGGCGCGAGAGCGTGAAGTTCTTCGCACTTCGCGCTTCGCGCAGGGCGAAGCGCGAAGTTGGGAGCCCGTGCTGTGACGAGATTTGGGCGTCGGAGTTTTTGGGCTCGCGCGGATTTCGAGAGAGCGCGTTCGGCGGGCGTTCGTGACCCGAGGGCGGTCTCGGTACAGGGGGACGTTTTCGTGCAGGAAGTGTGTGCGCGCGGTTTTTGTTTTCGGGCTCCCTGTCGGGGAAGACCAGGTCGGCACAGCCATACATTCCCGGGGACTCGCCAGGATTTCTGTGTGCGGCCGCTGCCCCTGCGGGTCCAATCGACGCTGGGGAATTGGGCACCCCCGTAGCATCTTTGGCTGTTTTTTTTTTTCAGAAATTTGCCCCGGAGGGGTAGAGCTCACACGTGGCTGCCCATTCTCTGATGGCGGCGCCTCCGGCGCCGCCCCTTGCGCGCTCTGAGCGCCAGGAGAGGGAGGGGATCCAGCGGCCGACCCAACATATCCGGGCAAATCCCCAGAGTTTCATCTTCGGGGCTAACGTATGGTTTTGTGATCCCTTCAAGGTTGGAGGATCGAGGCTTTGGAGACCGAGGATCGAGGTCTGGGGATCGAGGTTCGGGTAAGAACAGATGTGTCGTTGCAGATGATATTTTGTCAAGAGCGTTACGCTACTCCGCCAAATCCCAGTAGGGGATATGTGCGGCGTTCGGTATCGTGTGTCTTGCTTGCCACTTGCTGTCGTGCTGCTTGCGTGTAGTTGTTGTTGGTTCGTCCTCATTTTCCTCCGCGTCTGTTGCGGAGCTCTTTGGGGACCTCTGCGGGACCTGCGGGGCCGCCTCTGGGAGCTTCTAAAACCAAACTCCCGGGGGCTTTTTTGAGCCCTCCGGGTGTTTTGTTGGGGGGCCTCTTTGGGGTCGTGTTGGGGGTTATCTTGGCCGATCCCTCGAAGAATGGAGCCTTGCCTGAATCTAAACCTCCGAACATTGTGTTTATGCAGGTTGGGCTCTTCCATTCTCGCCCTGGGGACCTAAGCGAGCCCCGAGGGACCTCCAAATGTGCCCCCTCCCTGCCCTGCCTCCCGCGCCGGAGGCCTCGGGACAGCTGGCGGAGCGCGGGGAGGAAGAAACATATTGCAGGCCTGCAGTCCGCACTTGTAACACCAAGGCAGGATATCAAGAGAAATTCTGACGGAAACCCAGACTTCCGACGTCAGGATTTTTTCATGACGTCGACCCCCAGAGGTTTCGATTTATTCCCCTGCATGGACCCGTTCATCATTCTGCGTCTTTTTTTGACGGTCCTGGGGCCCGGGAATGGCCCCCAGAAGCAGAACATTGCGAACAACCTTCCGTCGTGATTTCTTCGTGTATACGAGCAACCCTGCCGCCAGCGTTCAACGCTGAACGCCGCCGGCAACCCAGACTCGGCCGATGTTGAGCGATCTGACGTTTCGGCAACGCCGGGGTCGACAGGACGCTAACCAGCCGTACCGTACGCACGACGACGTTGCGACCTTACGCTTAGGTCGGGCATGTCTTCCCACAGGGGGGCTGTCGACGAGGCATTAAAAATCGTCACCTCAATTTCCAAAAGTGATTCAAATACGTAGATATGTATATGTACCTATACGACCACCCTTCGGGTGATAAGGAGGTTAGGGGGGGGGAGGAACCAACGTCTCACTCGATCGGTCTCACTATCGATCTCAGTATCGGTCTCGCTCGATCGATCTCCATCGATCGATCTCACAATCGATCTCACTCGATCTATCTCACAATTGATCTGACTATCGATCTCACAATCGACTTCATAATCGATATCACAGTCGGTCTCACGATCGATCTCACTATCGATATCACAGCCGCTCTCACAATCAACGTCATCATCATCATCAACAACATCAACATCAGCATCATCATCACCAACATCAGCATAATCGGGACACCGTCCTCATCATCAACACCAACATCATCATCACGGTCATCAACATCATCGGGACACCACCATCATCATCATCATCATCATCATCAACAATCATCATCATCACCACCAGCATCATCAGCAGCATCGGGACAGTCATTGTCATCATCATCATCAGCAGCATCATTATCGGGACACCATCAT